CTTCCTCCCTCCCTCCCTCCGGAGCCCGTCACGCCCGCCTCCTCGCAGTCTCCCCCCCGCGACGCCAGGCCCCTGCCCTCAACACAGCGATTCCCTCCCCGCCTCTCCTCGCTAGAGCCTCCCGCCACTGGCGCTTTCCCCCCCTCCGGACCCCGACCGCCCTCCTCGTGGACGATGTCGCCGCATTTAGTCCCTCCTGCCCCAGCCATAAAGGAGAAAGCCGGCTCTTCCTCCTCTCCCAGACTGCCGCTGCTGCTCCCGCTGCTGCACTCGCTGCTGCCCTCGCTGCTGCTCGATCGTCTCCCAGCAGACTCTTTGTCCGGCGCCCGCATCGCCACCACGCTTGCACTGCCTGCTCGGCGCCGACGGGGCAGCGGCAAAGGCAGAGACCCGCGGATCGAGGCTCGGCGGGGACTGCCCTCTCGTCGTACTACCGACTCTCTGTCCCCCGCGGACGCCTCTGGCTCGACGCAGGCATCTTTCGAACCCTCTATGCCTAAGACTTCGGGCGCCGCGACCGCCGACGTCTCTGCCGGACGCCTCCGGGGCCCACGGCAGCGGAAAACGAGGAGCAAGGGACGGCCCATATTGGGTAGCAAAGCCATCAAATCATCGTAGTCGTCCACGAGCCGCCCTCCAACCCCCACCAGGTCGTCGCCAGCCTGCACATCCGCCTGATGAGCCGGACCCCCGGGGGCCACGCGGCAGACGCGCGCCTTGCCTGTGACCAGGTCCTTCTGGACCGAGATGCCGATCGAGGAGCGCCCCTCCACCCGCACTACGACCGTGCCCCTCTCCGTCAGCTCCTGCCCCTTGCCCCTCCCACTTGCGGGCGGCTGCCGTCGCGAATGGTTAGCCCCCGCTCCCAGGGCAGAGGCGGAGTGCCGGCGAGGGGGGGAGGCCAGCGTCGCCGACGCCAGCCGGGTGCGGCGAGCCGGGCGCTTGCCGTTCCGACCCCGGCGTTGCTCCCAGTCGGACTCCCAGCCCTTCTCCACAGCCTCGGCCAGGGTGCTTCGATACACCCCCGCCGCTTTGGACTGGTACCGGACGCGGATGTCCGTGTTGGAGATCCGTTGCCGACGAAAAAACTCTTGCATCTGGAAGTTCGAGCCCAGGCGCATGGCGAAGACTTGCTTTGGGGTCCAGGAGTCCAGAGACAGGGAGCGGACAAAGCTTACGCTCACGCCCAGGGAACGGTGGAATCCGGAGCAGCGCAAGCAGATGAGGATGCCGTACGTGACGCTCGCCCATTCCGTGTCAAAGGAGCCGCAATCACAGCACTGGCTGGAAGGTAGGGAAAGACATACATCCACAGATATTCTATGAGGGCGCTCCTCACACTAATTGAAAAAAAGCTTTGACGTATGCAACTGTTGGACAGCGTTAACATGTTTTCCCGAAGTATGCTGTAGTCTACACACATCGTGACTCGCATTAGGAGCATAGGGGGAGGCAAGAAGAAACGAATGCCATGCAAGCTTGTCCGCCAGAAGGCAGGAACATTTAGGTTGCCGAAGAACAAAAGAAGGCAAGACACTGTCGTAGGGCCTTTGAGGGAGTGCGTTCAAAAAAAATGGAGGCAGACTTACTTGTTCCCCGGGCTATTTTTAATTTCCAGCAAGATGTCGGGCGGAAATGGCCCCTCGGCCCGCAACGCGGCAAGCGCACTCATGTTTTTGGTTAAAGAGGCTCTATCCGGCGAGATTTAGGCCCTGGGAATCAGCCAGATCCTTGACATTGACAAGCCAACGCCATGCACTGCCGGATAAGAGCTGCCTCCTGCGCGTTGGCAACACGGACGTCCTTCTGTCCCGACCCGCCCTTCGAACTATATGTCACCCTCCAGGCTAGGGAAAACACCTGAGTGACAGCAGAACGCCCTCAGCCTAGTCGTGTGGTGAAGAAAGAGCTCCGCGAGTGAGTTGAGAGGAGCGCGGCGGGCCCTATGTCGCGGTCGCATGCCGGCGGCCCTGGCACTCGGCGAGGCAGAACAACTTGAACGCGACACGGCGACGTAACCTGACCATTTCTGTCGACCCCACGTTTTGCCACGCTAATTGCAGGTGCGACACAGATGTTTGCCTGATTGCTGGAGAGAAGATGGCTCGAAATACTTCCGCCTCCGCCGCCTCTGCGGTGGAGGCCCGACAGGCGTTCTTACAGCTTCTTATGGTGAGGTGCTTTTGTCTTTGGGCCCTTTCCCCGCAAACCTGAGTCCTCATCACTTATACCGATCTTGTAGAGCCGCAAGGTCATGACGCACAGTCAAGCAGCAAATGCACTTGCCATGATTTCTGAGGAACTGAATGTGCAAGACCAGCTTGGTGAGTGAAAGGCTCTGCGTTGGGGATCATCTTCGCAATTATATATTCACTGAAAGAGCGCCCTTCAAATTGATCTTCTCCCGGACCTTCAGATGTTAAGTCCTGTCTGGCCAATCTCAATAAGGAACTGCAGAATTGTAATCTGCAGATCCGGGGAATGGTTCATCAAGACTCGGAGGCCTACGCCGTCGTGAATGTGGTGGGTAGAGGAGAGAGAGGAGGAGGGAGGTACATGCCCTTCATTCTCTCATCTACTGCCCCTTACCCTGTCTTTATTCTTGGCAATTGTAGCTGAGCGATGATGTGTCGAAAATGCACGCGTCAAAAATGAAGGACTGGTAGGTGGAGCGGGGTGGGAAAGAAACAGAACCTCGCCCTCAGCTCCTGCATCCACCTTTCGAAACAGGGAGAAGGCCTATTTCAAGGAGGTAATCAAAGCCATTTGCGGGCGCGGTGGGAATTTTGTCGAGGACGATGAACTGACAGCTCTCCGCGTACCGATTGGGGGTACGGCAGCCTCCGTGCGGGTATGTCATTCTGTAACACACCGGGTTGGGAAGGCGTGTACTCTTTAACAGGGGAGGATGCGGGAAAACGCGACGCTCAATGGAGAGTCGTCCACTTAACCCTCGTACAGGAGAAAAGATCGGTGCTCTCCCTTTTGAGTGCGGAGTTTTGGTTGCAGGTATGTCCTTCGCCCGTCTGCCTCCCTGATTTACGTCGCTCAAACACCCGTCTTCTTTTTCTGTCTACAGAGGGACAAGCACGGCCGTTTTGCCCTAGGCCCGCGCACTTTTCTTGAGCTGGACGATTTCGTGCGAGCGCATGAGATGGAAATGCCGCAGGTCCTTTACTATTAGGGTCGAAATGGCATGCCACGAGTCAAATTTCCGGATTGGATGTTTACCAAACATCTCAACTGGGGGACTGTGATTCTACTTTCAACAAGAATGCGGGGGCGGAAAATTAGATTCGCCCCTCAATTCTGCTGCCACCGAAAGCAATCAATGAAAGGCATATGATGTGTTTATTCTTGGCCTTGTTTTTTTTTGTGGGTGATGATGATCAGGGCTCCAGGCTTCTGAACAGCGTAAAGAAAGGGCAACATCAAAGAACGCAAGACTCTTGCGTGTAGATGCATCATTACACACTTGCGACGATCATCTATGTGCGAATCATATTTTCCCCACTTCTTCAAAGGCGCGTATTTTTTGGTCGCCTACTCAGGAGAAAAATAATACCGGAGTGTGGCTTTGAGGAGCTCTGCAACGCTATGAGCCCAGAAAACAACCTCCCCGCGGGTTGTGTGCACGCTGCATGGCTCAAACTCTCATTCAAGTATATGGAAAGAGGAGCATATCTGTGCATTTGTATGATATATGGTAAAGAGGGGGGGTGCAAGGTTAGGGAGACAGAAAAGGATGGTTGACTCAAGACGTCAAGCGGCCTGAAAGCTTTGTGTTGCCACTAGCTGCAAAAGCATGCCCGGATGTGGGTAGCCCCCAAGACCCGTCCTGAGACCAACGCGGATAACTCCGAATTGGTGCGCCTCAACCGTCAGAGGGGCTGCGCTGGTAAAAATAGAATGGGCTGTGCTTGTGCGTATTGTTGCAAAATGTAGTGGTGCTTTGTCTGAAGCGGTTTTCTGGACTCCACGCTTCTCTACCATCACCATCCGTGCCAGGCCGAATTTGAGGCTGCTTGTTCCACCCCGCTCGGTTCCCACCCTCCTCAAATAAATACTCACACTGAGTTTTAAAACAGGATCATGGCGGATTCATCGTCGGATGAAGAGGTGGTGGTTCAGAAAAAGAGGACGGAGCCTCTCAAGGGGGACGAGGCGGGCGAGGTCGGGAATGGGGAAGGAAGGGAAAAGGATGTCGTCGACGACGATGCCGAGGAGGAGGACAGTGACGAGGAGGAGGAGGAGGAGGCAGAGGAGGCGTCGGGAGGCAAAGCACGGGGCGGACAGGACGAGGAGGAGGAGGACGACGACGACGAAAGCGACGCTGATAGCGACGACAGTGAAGCGGATTCGCGTCTACGCAAAGGAGGGCGGAAGCGGAAGCAAAGGAGGGAAGCAGAGACATCTCGAGGACGTGCTGGTAAGAAATCCCGTCGTCGGGACGGTCGCAGCCGTTTTCTGGACCAAGAAGCCGCGGTGGGTGGGGAGGAGGAGGAGGAGGAGGAGGATGTCGAGTCGGGCGACGAGCTGACCGAGCGGGAGGCGGAGAAACTGCGACAAGAAACCTTGTACAAGCCACGCACGCGAACAAACTTCGAGGACATGCTGGCGCGTGACTCGGACCACCAGATCGAGGAGCGTTTCCGGGCAATGGCTCGCACGAGCGCCCACCGGACCCAGGATTTCTATGAGGAGGCCAGCGCCCGGCAGAAGGGCGTGACCAAGCAGTCCCTGCTTCCCA